AGAACTTTAGCCTGGTTTTCCCTTCAATATACACAGGCTTTGCATTTGGGAATTAGGTTAATGGCTGAGATTAGGCTTTAGGTCAATGGATGAGATTCAGCTGGTGAGAATCAGTAAAATACAGTTACCAGTCAACTGAAACAAAGTCAGTACTGAGCCCACACCTTCCGATGCTCCTCACAGAAGGAGGCCTGATCGGGACGGTTTTCTGAGATAAATAACTCAGTAACAACTAGTTTGTTATTAAGTAGGCATTCTTTAATACAGCGCTGGGCAGCACTGGGGATAACTGCCGTGAGTGCTCCAACAGGTTGGCAAAGTACATCAGTTTATATACAGAAAAATGCGTATTCATCAGACTGCCTGGAAAGGGTGGCTTTACGGTGATGAGTTCCCGGAATTCATTTACATAGTCCAAGCATGCACAGTAAAATTAGGGTTAGGGTCTTTTCACCCTCTGGTGGTCGTCCATAGTCTTCCTCACTCTGTCTGCTAGTTGAACTTTGGGCTTCTTTTGTCCATAATAGTCATTGAATTAGCTTATCAGTCCTTGGACTCCGGGATGTTACAAGGGGGTCCGTTTAAACTAGTTTTTTGGCACTTATCTTGACACAATTGTCCTGAGTTCCTGTTATCAGTGATTGACACAGGAAGTGTAACGAGCTAGCTAAATGCCTGTTTAATCCTGTCAGGCAAGAAGTTACATGTTTCGAAATGTCCCACCATCAACTCCATTGACAAATAACTAAAACTATGCAAGTGAAGCTTTTTGTGCATCACAGCAAGGTTTTAGCCAAGGTTTGTCAGGGATTTCACCCTTTCACAACTAGGGATAGACCTTGTGGGTATACTATTTTCTTCGTGTAATGTGGGAGTTTAACACCATCCCTATACTGTCTTCATTAGTACTGACAAGGGTTATTTTTTTTAACCAAATAATTGATGGAAGCCTAACAAAATTCATGCTTCTACTTCTTAAAGGGGTTATTTTAAGGATGACTGATCATTGGGAGTGTGTTTTTCTGTATTTCTCTTTTCCATATCCCTTCTTTTTTACTTTCATATGTGCATAAGACAAGATTTCCTTCTAGCTAAATGTGGCAAGATTATCAAATTTGTGAAATCAATTTACGATTGCAAATCACTAGATGGCAGTACTGCTGTTATTTTCACCTAATTGCACACGCTTCAGTTTGCCTGTCTCAGTGTTTCTTCTTTGTCTCTTCACTTTAATAATACAAAATGTTCTAGTTTGCAAGAAGTCACAAAAGTCATTTTATTAAGAATTTAGGCTGAATTTTCAGGTGCTGCTTGCTGCAAATTATGTGTTTTTTGGCTTGGACTATGAAGAATTACTACTATTACTATTTTTTAAAACTTTTTTAAAATCACTGAAAAGACAGTCCAGTTCCACACCCAGCAGTCATTAAGGATTTGTAGGCTGATCTCACCGGGAAACTTTTTCCCTGCAGCTCCCCTGAGGGAAGTTGGAAACCCTCATTGGAAACTTTGTTGAAGACTGTTAAAGTCTCTGGATTGCTTGGGTTTTTCCCCCCCCATGTTCTTCTTCCACCCCAATGCTTCCCAATTTCTCACATGTAACTGGTTTCAGGTAGGCCATTTAGATTCAAGTGTTAAATCATATGACCTGTAGGATCGATTTTAATTACATATGTTATTTATATATTAGTGCTGGATTCTTTCAGCATGATGAGCTATTAGCTTCCAATTACACCTATTGTACTTTTTGCTTTCCTTTGCTTTTGTGTATTCCCTCCTCCCATGTCTCATCTTTTTCCTTAACCTTTTTTGTTTAAATTATTTATGTTTTTTCATGCAGCACATGCAAACTACAACTGGCTTATGTTGAGAATTCAGTGTATAGAAAGCTGTTATTTGTGCAGGCTTCATGTTAGTCCCTGACAGGTCAGGACTTCACAGTGAGGTTGATGGTTGTGTGAGGGAATGGGTAAGCTAAAGGGAAAAGAATATAGAAGCATTTAGGCTTCAGGGTTCTCTAATTGGCATGGGGGTGGGTAGATGGAAAGGGAAAAGAGTGAAGGAAAAAATTGAGAGTGGGAGGAAAATACTACAGGCTATTGCGGTTGTGTGTTATGTGAGAGGATAAAGGAATTTATCTAATTTCCAGCAAAAGG